TCACAAAATGACAAGAAACGAAAAGGTATTAGTTTTCGTATACTCTGCTTTTGCTAGATGTACCTCCAGAGCCCATACCAAATTACACAAGCCCTGGAAAGTTCTTGTTGGAGCATAAAAAGTAAAACAGAAGACACAATAACCACATCTTACATTTCTACAATAAAATAAAATACTGTAGATGAACATCAGCCATCAGCAGACACTTGTAAAACAAAACATGGTACACTCCGGAAAGAATATTGAAAAATAAAAAAATAAAAAAAATAAAAAATAAATTTGAGCGAAGCAAAGAACTATACTACAATAGAGCAGTGTGACAATTAGTTGATAATAACATGCAATAATAATAATAAGAAAAAGCATGCACTTTAAGTTTGGAAATAGAAGTAAGAAAAAAGAAGCAGAAGAGGGCTTGAAAAAGGATGAAAACAGTCTAAGAAGAAAGAGGAGAGGTAGGGGGACGAGGAGGGGGTCGATGGGACATTTATGGGTCAACGGGATCTTTGAGTGGATGAGTTTGAATTTAATGCATTTGTTGGTCTAAATTGTGTAGAATTGGGTCATCTGCCGTCATTGCCCCACACACAAACCCTCATACTCGTACAGGCGTACGCGCTCACACACACACATACACACACAACAACCATAGGCTTCACCCACTCACTCACACTCACCAAACAACACGATTGTGAGTCACAACTGGCAACTGGCTAACGGGACCCAAGCGCAGAACACATGCACAGCCATCTGATGAAAAGTGTGGAACGCAATACACTCACTACACTTCCTATATCCGTATTGACCCATGGCCTGCTCACCATTTTGAAATTTATCAAGATATAACTTCTGAGATTTAGAATAAAATAGGGACAACGACAAAACTGACAATAACTTTTCACTCATGGTGGCTGGCTACAGCAATTACTGAAAGGGGGAAGTCGAATATCGAATATTAGAGTGGAGGCGAGTAAAGTGCTAATTGCAGCAACCCAAGACTTGAATTCTTTTCTGTTCCCACAGGTTTCAGAGGCGTGTTGTTCTCATTGTGCATTAGACAAAAGGGAGCCGAAGCATATACACGCTAAATGAACAAGGGCGTCTCTGTGCGCATAAATAGTCGAGATACAATTTTGTCACTAAGAGTCGATGGCTTTGCTAGTCGTACGAAAATTAGTAGTAGGTTCCTGGGAAAATTTCCCCTCATAAAATTACAATTAGAATTTGTTACTTTACTAGCACTTCGTATCGACTAGGAATTAAACGAGAAAATGGAATGGGCTGTCGCAAATTGCCAACACATTTTGTCAATAAAAATTACAAAAAATGCTGTAATTTTACGAAGATCGTATAAAGTGACAATTTTATATTAATACTATATATGTGCACTTTCACGTAAGTGCAGTATCGAATCGAAGTCGAATCGAAATTGCATTTCTCTCTGGGAAAGACCCGTAGCTAATTACAATGTGTCTTTCGTCGTTTAGCGTATAGAAAAGGGGAATCGAAGCGAATAGTAAGTAAATATAATAATGAAAGTCTGGGAAGAAGAGCCCGAAATATTCGGACGCTGGAGTTGGCCGTAATAGTTGTGTTGTAGTGTTGCTTGTGTCTCATCGGCGACAGAGAAAGTAAGAGAGACGGCACACTGCCGAATATGTGAGCGTCGGGTTAGAGGGACCACTCGTTGGGTATAGCTTGTATGTGATCTCGGTTTTACTATTGGCGCAGAGTACACCACTCCCGATATTATACAGTTAAGCTACAATCAGGCAGCAAGGCACACTCTAAATCGTAAGGAACTTTCCAGGACTACTTTGTCCGTAAAGGTATTCATTTTTGTACACATCTGGGTATGACAAATTTGTATCCTCTTCGTAGACAAATTTTAATTTTGTCTATCAAGACGTTGCAAATCTATTATCACTTCAAGATTTAGAATTGCACCCTTGCCAAGATTTGCACAAAAAAACGCAATCTTTCTGTGCACTGCAAAAGTTCCTTCGGATTTAGAGTGCACAGTAATCTAAAGCATTCTCCCACAAAACTGATTATTAAAATGTTTTGATGGCAGAGAAAAGTAAATCTGATAGAGCATTTAAGAAGGTAGAACGTTTTATATTTGTTTCCTTGTCGGCCCTCCAGCTAATAGATCTGTGTGTGTGTGTGTGACGCTGCAACACTGAGGTGCATGGACAGACAAAGAAGAGCGCTTTATTTTTTTTTCATAAAAAAAGGAACATTATTGAAGGCATAGCACTTTTTTCAGGGAGCCAACAACAAAACAATTGCCAAAACAAAATAGTATCAAATGGTCAAGTATTTGTTGTTCCACATTGGGGGTTTGATCTTACTCAAACATGGTTCAAGTTGGAACAGCAAAATATGGCCACCGTGATCGTTTTCAGGCCGTTTTGTTCTCCCCGGGTACAATCGCTCGCCCATAGCAGATATGGCCTGAGCCAATACCTACCGATGAAAACAACCCAGCGCGGTCAGTCCAGCTGTCAAACCCCCGTCCGGCCGCCGAGCAAAAACAAAAATTGGTGTTGTTGAGAATCATCTGTCAAAATGGTTTGGCTTCAGTGAAGTTTTAAATATGCATTTCGAATTTGATATTGTACATCGATGTGACTTAGGCATAAAGACCTACACACAGAAAGAATTGTTCTTGATTCGGCCAACCTTAAGCACATTTTCCTCATGCCAAGATCATTTGTACTGATTCCAAGCTCATTACTGTTCTTGTTCAGAAAATATTATGGTATTGGAGCAAGATAAATGATTTTAGAATGGGGCTCAATGTGCTTGATTTACAGAATCAGGAGCAGTTTTTTTTGGGTGGAGACTTTACGAACACATTTCTCCAAACCATTATGTCAAATAAACAAACCAAATCGTTGTTATGAACACCTACCGACTGTTTGAGCGAGAATCACAAGTGAACCAGTTTCGGATCAAGACCTAAAAGAGTTTTTCGGACAAGCTGATAAGGCAAGGGAATCGGCCGATTAGCTGCCAGTTCCATCTTTGTAAGCGCATGCGCGGTAGACACTGCGCCACCAGAGACGGAAACTGCGGAGTGGTGGATCCGTTTCCGATCGTACCCTTACCCTTTTCGTGTCAATGGCAAGCAGCTCAATTTTAAAAGAGAAAAGTTGTGAGGTGCAACTATTGTTATTCGTCTATGGAGTTGGAGTTATAGTTCTATTATCACGAAGCGTAACAAAAGAAAATTTTGGAAACATTTTATAAAAGGCTCTATCAAATTAAATCGAAAATTTTCTCCGAAATAGGTTCACTGACTAAACGACACCATAAGGAGCAATCAACAAGCTCACTTACGGCTTGTTGCGACAGGTGTCAGGTTTGCCACTAAGCGCACTCGCGTGTGGAAATCCATCGCACTGTTGTGTTCTCGCCCAAACATACAGTAATCAACAGAAACCAGCTGCAGCCAAGAATCCGACTTGTTTTTCAAAATTAAGAATGTACGAAGGTTTTTTTACATAGAGAAAATGTTAACATTCGAATGTTGCACACCTGCAGGTAAAAGAATCAGTTCCAAAAGAGAAAAGTCATTCACTCACTTTGAATAAGTCATCGGACGTTGGCAAGAATCGATTTGCCTACGTGTGAACGACATTGAAATTCATGGAATTCACTGGAAAAACGAAGGTGTTTAATTACACCGCAACTCAACAGGGGCTAAAAATTAGTGCCCTGAGTAGTTTTAATGCCTTTGTAAGGGTAATAAACTCTTAACGCCCTTTAATAGTGCGACTTAAAACCATGGTTTTTCCAGCGTTTCCAGTTTACGTACACAAAAATGACAGCGAAAGAAAAACATTTCGGATTCACGACTGCATGCTAGTTCTGAAATGAGGTGGTATGAGGTCAGGCTGAGACAGGAAGACATCCCGAGCTGTGTCCTTTCCACGGGGAAGAAACCAATACCGATGCTTGCCCTCTGGCGTTTCAGGGAGCGGCAGGTGCTGGCAGGGCTACCAGGGACCGTGGTGTGGTCTAGTGGTGGCGAAGGACCGCGAGATGGAGGGAAGAGGGTGGGTCGCGAAGCATCCCACCACCACGGCAGGGATGGGGCGGGCCGGGGCGGGCCGGGGTGCGCTGGGGTGGGTTCTTTCCGAGAACAGAGGGTTATCGTTGGCCATCTCTGTTGTGCCCGTTGGCCATGCGCTGTCAACAGGTGAGGGGCGAGGGGGGAGAAGGGAGGGGCGCGGGGGGCGCTTTGAACGCCGCCGCCCCCAGAACCAAAACAAATCTCGCTAGGCCGCCGCGGGAGGGGCCAGGCCGGTAAGTAAACAACGAGCGGTGGTCACGCGGAGTCATTGCCCGAGCAATGCCCAGCACCCCGTCAGTTCCGAGCGGACTTCAATGATGTTTAATAATGACAACAACACGCCGCCGTGGCCGGCGCAGGCGCTGCCGCGGCGCGGCCTCGATCCGCCGCTGCGGACGGACGGATTAATCTGGGTCACGAGAGGAAATGGAGCTGAGATGCGCTCTGATCCGATCTGGCCCGCGCGCGCACCGTTACGGGGTTGGGCGGCCGGGCCGGGCCTGCCCGCGGTGGTGGACCACCTGCCGATGCGCGATAGCTTGGCGATAGCGACGCGGCTGATGAGAAGCTTGTCGCGAACACACACACACACTCACACACACAAACACACTCACTCACACAAACACACACACTCACACACACGCACGCACGCGCGCTTGGGGCGACCTATCACCGGCGAGGTGTCGCGGGGTGTCGGGCCAGGGGGAGGGAGGGGGGTCCGGGGGGGTCACCGTCGAGTTCACCACGGTCCCACGCAGGTGGAGGCCCTGCCGCACCAGGCCGTCCGCGGAACGTCGCTCTCTTATGGTAAAGTCCTGGTCCGGGCCCCGACCTGCTCGCGGCCGCGGCCGTGCTGAGCAGCGCCGGGGCTGGGGCGCGGACCAGGCTCAGCTCGTCCTTACTCTTGCGTCGTGTTTACCTGGTTGAGGTTGCCACCGCTGGAGGAGGTTCGACGAAGGACCCAACGCTCGTCGCAAGGGGAAAGGGGCAAAACCACCCATTGTGACAAAAGGAGATCACTGGCGGCTGGTGAGTGGGCCACAGAGTGGGGTGGGTTTGGTGTGGTGAGTGTGGAGGTGGCCGTGCGCGCACCGCGGCGCGGCGGGCGGCGTCCTCGGGGCGGCCATGGTCAGGGGGACGCGGGCGCCAGGGCGGGCACCATCCTCGCCCCGCTGAGGCAGGCTGAGGCGCACACTGGAGGAATAAATGAGAAGAAAAACAACAGGGGGCGGGGGTGGGTGGAGTCTACGAGACAGCAGCAAGGCCGGAGGGAGGGTGTAAACGAGCGCTAGGCGTAACTCACGGTGCAACCCAAACTAAATCCAGGGGAGGGGCGGAGGAGGTGGTGATGTTGGTGATGTCGTTGAGGTCGATGGGGGAGGTAATCCAGAGGGCGGTGCAAGACGGCGGCGTATCCAAAGCACTTCACTCACTGCACTAGACTTCACCCTGTCCGAGGGGCCATGCGCACCAACACACAGTGACAGACGTCACGACATAGTCACACACTAGCACTGTAATCCAGAGAGGAGGGCGCGGGCGAGTCCGGGGGGAGGTCCGCTGTCTGCTGGTGGCACGGCTCAGAGATCGGCTCAGGGCCTGCGCGGGGGCGTGGCGGGGCCGGCTGCCGGGCCGCGACGACGTTCGGACGGACGGGGGACGCGCACGCTTGCGCCGACGGAGCTGCACTGCCATGGGGCGGCCCGCTACGCGCCGCGGGCCGTGGATCCGAGCCGAACCGGGCCGAGCCGAGCCAAGCCGAGCCGAGCCGA